GTGTCTGGTTCAACCAGTATAAACTGAGCCTCGTCTATGACCAAGAAACGGCGCTGCTGCCTGTCAAATAACCACATGACAATAATCAAGTCACATTCACGCTCTGAACATTACATAAACCTCTGAGACCAAAGTAAAGCCATTACAAGTAAAAACAGAGCTGCAAAGGGAATGGCACTTAAAACGGAACATTATGAACTAACGTCCTAGAACCGGCCATTTCTAAAAAGACACCTGACCAAATTTTGACTCACATATTACGATTCCCGATGTAGAGAATTTCCAAGTATAACTGTCTAGAATTAACTGTTTTATTTTATTTTTTATTTTATTTTTTGATTTGCCACACAAACTACTACAGAGTGAGAGACAGATGGATTCGCAGACTAAACCTGTAAACAGATACTCAAATCTACAGCTCTTAGACAGTTAAACCAATGTATACGAATGAAACAAGACACTTACTTGTCTTCTGTCTTCACAGTGCAAGCTATCAAGTCACTGTTGTCTGAAACCACACAAAAATATGATGTTCACTTAAACTGTCAAAAAAAATTCTTCCCAGCCTTAACAAGACCATTCACGACTAAGCAAAGACCATCAAATGAACTAGTTTCAATTTCTGCTGCACTTACTCAGATCCAGGACATCTTCCAAATGAACAGAGTTTTCAACTTTGGATAGAGGCAGCTGCTGTTCTGTCTGTCCCAGCAATGCAAGGCAAAGGTCCCTCATTAACAGAAACACACGGATCGCCTAGAAAGCAAGTCAATGCCAACGGTTATGCTTGTAGAATAACTATATCAAGCGAGATAAACAGAGAACTGTGTTCCGAAGTAACGTGTTCTGCCTCACACAAAACAGAACAAGAGCCGAGGCCAATAGGCCTTTTGCAGGATCCGGTCACATGGTACGGAAGTAATTACGCTGGGACGCAAGTTACGCAGTGGGACTTCCAAAACAAAGAAAAGTCGGGCTGGACTGGTGCGAGTTCCTTTGTTTTGGAAGTCCAACTGTGTAACTTGCGTCCCAGCGTAATTCATTCCGTACCATGTGACCGGATCCTGAAAAGGGTCTATTTTAGCACAACTCCGGAAGCAATCTCCTGGTAACAAATGTCTACCAGGAATGGACATCAGTTCTCCCAACATTTGCTTACTATTCAATCACACGACTGGACTCGTGGGTAAATTTGAAAGTTACATTATGACTTTAGCTAGACATGATAGGGATTCGTCATGTCACGTTGCTAAGCAACCTCTCGCGAAACCGCAGGCTCAGACGGGACTCTTATGAAGAAAACAAGGAATGACAAACACACGCGCGACTTACCCTTCGGGTGTGCTCCACTTCTCCACACGGCAGGCGCTTGTAAAACTCAATTCCGGTCAGTGGAGTTCCCGTGAGCGGCAGGAGCAGCGCAGCGTCCATCATCAAATGTTGCAGGTTGGGCGGCTTCACCTGACATTAAACAACTATATTTATTAATAAATGATAC